TTACTTTATTATGGTTGGGTTTCGTTTTTTTAAAAAGTACTCTAAACTGTATAAATAATGTAAAATTAAATTGAATTATTAGCCAATCAGACAAACTTCTGTCTATGACCCGCATGGAGGCTTGTGTGCTTTCATATGGCTTCTTTGGGGCGGGCCACATGTTTCAGATGAATCGTCATGGGCACCTCTAATTAGGTAAGTATGCCACAATGACGTCCATTTCGCAGGTTCCATGAGGTGTCGGTTTTACCTCTGACAATAGGTTTGGTTTGTATCACTAGTATTTCTAGCCAAGCATAACACATTATATTATTTCTTTATTTGGGTATTAGGGTTCTGCAAGTACCATCATGCGCATTATTAAAACAAGTGATACAAATCACTTATGATTTTTTCCAATAGCACTTAGATTAGACCGACTTTATGTTTAAGTAAGTCGCATAATGTTATATAGCTTAGTAAGGAGCCTTTTTAATTAAAACGTAAAAGATAATTTCCTAGGCAAATTTTGATTTATCGAAAAAACTTCTATTTAACGTTCACAAAGATTAAACCTGATCTTGCAATCTACTGTTGCCTAGAGAAATCCCTTTTTGGATTTGTATCACCGTGTACGCTTCCTTGTTTATTTGAAATAATTTATAAATACTGAATTTCATAAAATTAATTTATTTTTAAATATATTTATTAAATTTTTTTTTTTTAACGTTTTATAACAATGGTAAATGCAAACGAGTGGTTAAATAAAAAAATTCCGGCGAATGAAAGGGGACGAGCAATGATACTTTACATTTACAGCAAATGTCAATGTAAAATTCCACAACAATACGGTCAGTCTATGACAATACCACAATTCAGTCAGTCTACGACAACGCCAAATTTCGGTCACTCTGTACCGACACAGCCTTCACTTGGACCTTTTGGAACGACACCATTTGCTCCATTTGCATTCAGTCATTCTGGACCTTTTGGGGCTGCACCATTTAATCCATTTCCATTCGGTCAGTCTGTTCCAACGTCGCCTCCTTTCTGCGCACCTTCCGTAACGACACCATATAATTCATTTGGATCTAGTAATCATAATTATTGTCAAAATTGCAATAATAAAGATCAAAATAATTCTCGCACTGCTCCAGATTATTGTTTTTATAATGTTATTTTGGAAGGAGAGCTAGATCTTAATGACTTGGTTAATTTGCAAGTATTATATATTGAAGGTACTGAGCAAAACAAGAACCAACTACAAAAATTAACTAAGTTGAAGATAGATAAATGTATTAAGTTAACTGAAATTACGATTAATCATACAACTCTTGGATATATAAGTTTAGGTAGTAAACCAAAATTACAACGAACTAATTTCACTGGCAACCAACAACTTATTTTTTGTGATAGTGTATTAAAAAATCAGATAGAAAGATTAACCAATTTGATCCAAGCTACTAAAACTATCAATCTTGTCAATTTAAAATCGGAGCTTATGAAAATAGAAGAAGAAAACTTTGTGAATCAGTTAAATATTATTAAAAGTCGTTTGAATGAAGATTATCAAGTTTGGTTGGAAAATTTAGTAGAAGCACATCAGGAAGTTTTACTGATTAACAGTTCTTACGCCCGTAAACAATTAGAAAAATGTAAAAAAAAATTAGCTGATGTGCTAACTGAAGAAGAAATACAAGACATTATGGGCAAAAAAGTAGAAATCAATGAGTTGGAAACTCAATTAAACAAATTATCTTTAAATAATGAGAAAACGCAGTTTATTGATAAATAAATATATATCATTATATCATTTATATTATTATTGATATTCTACCGTGTATTAAAGGATAAATACTACTTTAATAGATCTCAAAAAGCATTCATAATAAGCACACTTTTTGTTTATTTTGTTGATATTATCGGTTATCGATCTTTCAGTTTTTTTCAGTTGTGTTAATATTCTTTCTTTTATATTATATTCTTTCTATTTTTTGTAACACATTATTCTTGCTTTATTTATAATTTGATAATTGGTGGGTGATTGTTTAAGCTACTTAACATGATTTTAAACTACATGGGATCATAATTTTAGATTATCAGAATTATACGCATGTATTAATGATTATTTTTTAAAATATATATGGGTAATGTTAAGTTTTTTTTAGTAAAGAAAATGACACTTTAAATTTTCATTATCAGATTCTAAAAAGTACATTGTAACTCATTAAAAAGTATCGAAGATAGATTTCTACTTATTACTATTACTAATTTTTTTAAAAAATGAGATTTCGCATAAATATCAACTAGCAACTCTTAAGGAATCAAAACAAAATCCAAAGCTTATCTAATACTTTGCTATATCAAAATATTCGTCCTATTTCCTCATCAAAAAAATATTTTTTTTTGAAAAACATATTCGGATTTTCCCAGGTTATTGTCCTTATTATTTCGAAACAAATATAAATTCCTCCGAGATAACAAATTGTCGGATAACGAATAAAATACTTTGATTTGACCAGACAAAATGGCTAACATTTGCCGCTTCATGGCAATTATTTGCCCAGTTGAGTCAAATTACCGTTATTCGCGTTATTCGTTAGCTACCGGCTTACAACATTACCAAAGCAATCATCTGCTTTATCAAAGTCATTTATTTCCCAAAAATTTGCATAAAAAAAAAAGCCGCACTTTCTTAGAAAAAAAAAATTTTCATTAAAAATTTTGATATATATGGCACCATTATCCAAACGGTAATCCGAACTTAAACGTACTTGATTACATGAATGTGACGTTTTAAAGGTAATGCCGTGGGAAAATATCAACACTTGTTTTGTCCATCTCCAATGATCATTATTATAACTCGTATAATTAAACTTTCGAATCGTAATCTGATTACAAAATACAAACCATAAAAGACAAAATCATTACTTCGAAATACTGTGTAGTTTGAAAAATTTTTTTAGAGTGTCGATGTTATGCGTCATTTCTCAATTTACGTCAATTATTAATTGACGCCTGTCATTTTTCAATTTCCACCGATTGATAAATGAACCAGGTCAATTCTTAATTCAGATCATATTATAATCAACGGTAACTTATTAATGATGCCAATGATAATAAATAAATAAATTTTGAAAAATAATCTTTCATTCTCTTTCTACTAATGAATCCACAAAGTAATTCTTTTCTGACCCCGTGAGACCTTTAAACAAATATTGGAAATGTATACAAACGAAGCTTGATGGATAGAGAACGCTACAATGAATGTCTTAATATATTAAAAAATTCCGCCAAGCAAAATATTACATGTACAATTCATAATATTCAGGAACGTCAAACTTATAATGTTCAACATCCAAGTCTACAATTCAGCTCCAACTCAAGAACACCTAATACAAAACTACTCAACTCAAGAATACCCAAGAACGCTTAACTCATACATTTCCGAAGTAAGTGATTAATAAAATTTATTGAATTTAATTAAAATTTTACTGATATAATTTGAATTGAAGTGACTGTGCAAATAATAAAGGTTCAAATTTGTGCAGTTGCGAAAAACGAATTGCAGTACTAAATATTGCTCTTGTATAAATAAAATTCGGTATACTTAAGGCATACATTTTTAGTTACATTAGTAAATTATAACATAAATTTGAATATTTTCGGTTAAACATAATACGCATAATAAATCTTCCTGCCCAGTCTTTTTTAATTTGAAATTTTATACCGATTGAAAAATGACGTATGTCGGTTTTCAATTGAAAAATGACATACGTCAATTAATAATTGACAGAATTTACAAATGACTCATAACATCGATAAGTATCTCAAATTACGCTATAATCGTGAAAAAGGAAAAATTATTAAACGCGGTCAAATTAAAAACGCAAGTATCGGACCTGAGACAACAAATAATGTTATATTAAGTGTGTTATTGTTATTCTTTTTTTTTTTTTTTTACTTACAGGTTGGTTTGTATCACTCTTACAGGTTGGTTGGTTTGTATCACTTACAGGTTTGGCTCGTATCTCTCGTAGAAACAAGTATTTTCAGCCAAAGCATGATTTTACTTCCTTATTTGGAATATACACTAGGACTTTGCAAGTGCCTTCATGTGCACTATTAAAGCATAACGGTAAGATTATCTTGGACTATGTTTAATAGTGCGCCGGAACTTGAAAACCTATAATACGTTCTGTGGAATGTGAATGTATGTTTATTATTTACACATATTAAATATCATCGAAGAATAAAATTAATTTATTAATTTATTTTCAAATATATTCATAAATTTTTTTAGCATTTTATATAACAATGGTATATGCAAACGAGTGGTTAAATAAAAAAATTCCGACAGATGAAAGGAAACGAGAAACAACTCTTTACGTCTACGGCAAATGTCAATGTCGTACACTTAAAAGTACGACAATTTTCGGTCAGCCTGTAACAACATCGACTGGGGTTGGACTTTTTGGGTCATTTCCCGTAGAGTCATCACCACCCGGATTTGGATTTAGATCCGTAAATATACCATCTTCTAAAACTGAATTTGGATTTGGAACTCCCGTAAAGCCAGTTGGATGTCAACATTGCAACAATAACGACCAAAGTAATTGTTACACCGCTCCAGATTATTGCTTTTGTAATGTCTTTTTGGAAGGAGAGTTAGATCTTAATGACTTTGTTAATTTGCAAACGCTATGCATTGAAGGTATTGAGCAAAGCAGTGACATACAACAAAAGTTAACTAGGTTGAAGATGGATAAATGTATTAAGTTAACTGAAATTACGATTAATCATACAACTCTTGGTTATTTAAGTTTAGGCAGTAAACCAAAATTGCAACGCACTAATTTCGTTGGCAACAAACGACTTATTTTTTGTGATAGTGTATTAAGAAATCAAGTAGAAAGATTAACCAGCTTGATCCAAGCTATTAAAATTATTAATCTTGGTGATTTAAAATTAGAGCTTAAGAAAATAGAAGAGGAGAATTTAGATTACCAGTTAGATGCTATTAATAGTAATCTGGATGAAAATAATCAGATGTGGCTGGAAAGTTTAGTAGAAGCACAACAAGAAGTTTTACAGACTAACAGTGCCTATGCCCGTAAGCAATTAGAAAAATGTAAAAAAAAGTTGACTGAGGTGCTAACTGATGAAGAAATACAAGATATTTTGGGTAAAAAGGTAGAAATTAATGAGTTGGAAACTCAATTGAATAATATTAACAAATTATCACTAAATGATTAACTGTTATGTGAGAAAATGTTGCTGATTAATACAAAGATGGTAAATCAATGTATATATTATGATTTAAAATAACGATTATTATTTTATATCATATTAATATTAAATATAGATTCGAATTATTGGTTCTTTCTATAAGGGTTTCGTCATATACTAAAGGATGATTACTACACTGACAATTCTCATAAGCATTATAACAAGCGTACTTTTTGTTTATTTTGCTGATATTATTATCAATTATCTATCCTTCAGTTTTTCTCGATTATGCATTTATTCTTTCTTTTGATATTATATTCTATCATTTATTTTTTTTTATCATTATTATCCTTGGTTTATACATAAAATTTGGTAAATGCGGGAGATTATTTCAAGCATTGCAGTGGTAGGTTTAAACTACTTGATTTTAATATGTTTAAATCGTTATAGTTTTGGGTTTTCAGAAGTTGTTTCAAAGAGTTTTTAAATTAAAAGAGGTATTTTGGCTAAGTTAGAATATAAAATTTATTCAAAAAAAAATTGTCTTTTATTTAAATTATATATGTATCTGAAATTATTTATAAATAAATAATGTAGCAGATTATTTTGAAGAAGTTATATATATCGTATATAAATAGGTTAACCTTTTAAGGAGTGTTCATAGAACGATTTTATATGATATTTATATAGTTTAAAGTACTTTTACAGTTTAAAAATCATGTATTATCTGCGTGTCAATCTGTGTGTCAAATAGAGCGTATAAATATTTGTGGATTAACGAAAAACACTATCACAAATGATTATATCTTAGTATTTACTGAATTTGATGAATTTAGCTCTAAAAGAGATTATAAGCATGGAAAATGTGCAAATTGCTACCGATATAACACATCTTACGCTTGGTGTCTAACATGCGACCCTCAGAAGACAACACAGGGATGGGCAAGTGGAAATAAAGATATTGATGATTGCATTAAAGAATTTCGACTTAAAGCTACAAAGTATAAAGATGTAATCGAATGGATTCCTTTTAATAAATTAGTTAATATTCAAAACATTGGCG